CATTCTAGTCCTCTTAATCTAAAATCCAGTGTTTGAATGCACCTTTATGCTAGTTATTATTGGTAACTGTTGGCACTAAAATGAAACACAAGTAAAAGGTAAGGGGGACCAGGACTCTCACATCTGGCTGAAACGAGTTTGCGGGCCAAGATCCAGCGGCACAGCCGGGAGTATAATGTTAGCGTAGGATACTGATATATAGTTAAACAATTTGTAAATACTATAAATAAACCAGTAGCGGACGTCTAAAGTAATCGGAGTTCTGTGGCTTTTATTGTACCGCAGTTTACTGTAACCTTGTTAGCAGGTGTCCGGAGTTTCCAATTGCATACGTGGGTCTAAATTGGACCTATGTTATTGGATAAGTAACTAGTGCATTCGGTTAGTCAGAAAATGTATAATAGCCATTATAAGGGTTTATATGAATAGTGATACATTAAATTAAAGGAGAAATGAATATTTTGCTTACCACACATGTTCCTATGTGTGGTTACTTTTTTGGGAAACGACTGGGCAGAATGGTTAGCAAACTTCGAGAAATAAGTGGACAAGAACGGAAATGGCTGTGAAAATAATATGTCAATAACGGGGTAAACCGATGTGGCAAGAATAGGCAAATAACCATGCGATGTGCGCATACAAATTTACATATGGGACTTGTTACGGAATACTTATTTATAAAGGAAAAGTAACGCGAAAGCGTCAGTTCCATATATGAATGAGAAGTGAAGGAGAAGTGAAAATGCATGTCGGTCCCTGGTCAATATGTGGTGGGTAAAAGCTCGCAACGGCAGAATGAGCTTTCATAGGGTATATGAATGGTTGATGCAACTTTCTATATATATATATATATATATATATATATATATATATACATATACATATATATAGCTTAATATGGCGTTTATTCATGGATACATAATGCTGTCTAAAAAGGAATGCATATATTTAATTACAAATATATGCATTCCTAATTTTGCAACTTTAACGTGATTAGAAACAGTATTGCTACTCCTATGGAGGAACCGGTAAAGGAGAATACCAAGTCAGTCAGGTTTACCTCCCATATAAAGTATCCTGATGTACCTTAGCGTCGGACGGCCGTAAATCCCGAGGTATGCCGAAATGTACGTGTACATAGAGTCCGATCGTGAACCAAGCAGGCAGCGATGCGCACACTCACAACAATCCAGCGGCAACCAAGGAAGAACCACGGGAGGCGAGCTCGTAACCAAGTGTGTGTATAAAAAGTTAATTAAAACAAAGCTGTACAACAACTGCAGCGAAATAGGTAAACGTGAAAATGCAAAATAAGCAAATTATTTACAATCGCTACAGTACTCCCCCCCTAGAGCGTGCACTAAGAAAACGCTCGACAAGTGCCTACGGAACGTATTGAGCAAGCTTATGTGGAAAGGAAACAACACGACCAGAACGTGTGTGTTTGGAGCTGCGTGTAGTCGTAGGGCACGGAGGACTCAATGTACTGGCGTCAGTGTGTCGCTGGGTAGGGGGTAATGAGTCAGGGGCGGGGGTATGCTGAGGGGAGGAAACGGGGTCTTTACTATCGACTGTAGTTTCGACGTAAGCTGGCTTGAGTCGGTCGATGCTCACGGATTCTTTTGATCCATTCTTATTCAATACGAAATACTTGGGTTTCCGTGACAAGACCTGGTACGGGCCGTCGTAGGGCGGAGTTAAAGGTCTTCGGACGGCGTCGACGCGGATGAAAACAAACGGACACTTGTGCAAATCGGGGTGGACTTGCTGTTTACGTAGGTTAGGCCGCGTAGACGTTGGTCGGATGGATCGAAAATGCTGTTTGAGGCGTTCAGCGTACGAGAAGGGGTCTAGTTCGCCGGTGGTGCGAGAGTCCAGTACCATCTCCCCAGGTAGTCTGAGGGTCGTCCCGAACACGAGTTCTGCAGGGCAGCACCCAATGTCCTCTTTGATTGTATTGCGTATACCAAGGAGGATCGCAGGTAGACGCTCAGACCAGCGTGAGTCGGACGAAGTAGCCATGATGGCAGCTTTTAATTGTCGATGAAAGCGCTCGACGAGGCCATTGGCAGCGGGGTGGTACGCGGTTGTTCTCATGTGAGTACAGCCTAATAAACGACTCAGATCGCGGAACAGTGTGGAACTGAACTGAGCCCCTCTGTCAGTAGTGATGGTGGATGGAATACTAAACAGAGAAATCCAAGATTCGACAAAAGCACGGGATACAGATTCGGTAGAGGTATCACGTAAGGGAACAGCTTGTGGCCAACGGGTAAAACGGTCAACACATGTTAGAAGATGAGTGAAACCGTTGGAAGGAGGTAAAGGGCCAACAATATCTACGTGTACGTGTCTAAAACGAGCGTCAGGGAGTGAAAATGTACCTGGGGTGGTGACTGTGTGACGATGCACTTTACTAGTTTGGCAACTAAGGCAATGTTTAGCCCACTGTCTAATGTCTGAACGCATATTGGGCCAGAGGAAGCGGTCGGTAATGAGTTTTACGGTGGAGCGGATACTTGGGTGTGAAAAACCGTGAAAATGATCAAAAATGGTTCGGCGAAATGATTGTGGGACAAAGGGTCTAGGCTTACCGGTTGAAAGATCACAGTAAACTCTTATGTCAGAGTTAAGTACGGGCAGTTGGGTGACTTTCAATGAGGAGTTTGAACGAAGTTGAACGAGCTCAGGATCATCATTTTGGGCGGCCGCTATTCTCTCCAAGTCGATGGGTGTCGATGACAGTTGATTCAAATGGGCGCGGGACAATGCATCGGCAACAACGTTGTTAGGACCGTCGATATAACGAACATCAACACAAAACTGTGAAAGATAGTCCAGATGACGCGTTTCTCGGGGTGAGTAACGGTCTGAGGAAGAACGGAAGGCATACACCAGTGGCTTGTGATCTGTCAAGAGAATGAAACGACGTCCTTCTAAAAGGTGACGGAAATGTTTCACAGCCAAGTACATGGCGAGCAGTTCACGACCAAAGGTGCTGTACCTGACCTGAGCAGGTTGAAGCTTCCGTGAGAAAAAAGACAGTGGTTGAAATTCGTTATCAACTAACTGTTGCAAAACTGCACCGACAGCAGAACTTGAAGCATCCGTCTTAAGGACAAGTGTAGCGTCCTCAGTGGTGTTCAAGTGATGGAGAGAGGTGACCTCACTGAACTTCTGCTTAACGGCCGTGAAAGCGGCTTCAACTTCTGGGGTTATCGTAAACGTCTTTGAGTTTCCTTTCAATAAGTCGGTAAGCGGGTGAAGTAAATCAGCACAGTTGGGAATGAATCTGCCGTAGTAGTTGATCATACCGAGGAATCGGCGTAGGCTTCGGACAGATTGTGGCATCGGGTAGTCGAGGATTGCTTGAGATTTATCCGGGAGGGGTTTAATACCTTCACCATCGATCTTGTGACCGAGAAATTCGACGGTTGGCTGACCAAATTTGCATTTATCCGGGTTGATGTTTATCCCGTGGTTTTCAAAGCGTTCGAAAACCATTCGGAGGTGTGATAAATGCTCGTCGGGTGTGGCGCTTGCGATCAAGACATCGTCAATGTAAACGTAGACGAAATCAAGGCCACGGAGGACCTGATCCATAAAGCGTTGGAAAGACTGTGCTGCGTTCCGGAGGCCGAAAGGCATACGAAGAAATTCGTAAAGGCCAAATGGAGTGATCACGGCAGTTTTTGCGATGTCTTCCTCCGCCATTGGAATTTGATGGTAAGCTCTGACAAGATCGAGTTTGGTAAAGATTGACTTTCCAGCTAGTCCAAGGGAGAAATCGTGGATATGTGGGATAGGATACCTATCCGGAACAGTGACGTTGTTAAGAGCACGGTAGTCACCGCATGGTCGCCAATCGCCTGACTTTTTAGACACCAGATGGAGAGGTGATGCCCAGCAGCTGTTTGAAGGACGAATAATGCCGAGATCAAGCATGTGTTGGAATTCCTTTTTAGCTGCCTGGAGTTTGTCAGGACGCAAGCGTCGAGCTTTAGCAGTTACAGGCGGACCGGTTGTAACGATGTGATGGCGTACATCGTGTTTAGGATCGGAAGTGTCGTTACTTGCTCGAATTAGGGACGGAAATTGTCGGAGCAATGAAGAATACTGTGAGTCGTCAGGGATGAGGATGCGAAGCCCGAGAGAATTGACTGAGGCAAGTTTGCAGGGTATGCTTAAAGACGTAGTATCGTCTCGCAATTTCCCACAACGTAGGTCGACCACAAGACCGAACTTGCTGAGGAAGTCGATTCCGATAATGGGCTTTTGCACATCGGCGATGGTAAAAAGGAAAGGGAAGTTACGCCGTAATCCGAGACTCAAAGTAAGTAATTTCTGGCCGTAGGTCGCGATTTTAGTCTGATTAGCTGCCGTAAGCATTGGACCCGCTGGTTGCAGGGGGCGTTTTTCCAGAGAACGGGGTAGAACGCTGACTTCTGCACCAGTATCAACCAAGAAGTGAAGTTTGGTTGTGGAGTCAAATACATACAACAGGCGACTAATAACTTGGCCAGCGACAGCCGCCGCCATTACTGGCTGGCCATGTGGTTTCCCGACGCGGGAGTTGAAAACGCTTTGGGGTGTTTACACCCTGGACGGCACTTACGCGCTGCGTCTCCGAAGCGGTGGTGGTAATAACAATAGCGGTGAGACTTCCGTGTACGAGAGCTGCTAGACCGTCTGGATCGAGAAACGGATCGTCGCGAAGGAACGCGGTCGCGTCTGAGATGGGACAAGGTGAGCTCTAAGTTAGAAAGCCTCTCGCTGATTGTATCAAGTAGCGTGGTTCTGGAGGGGCTGCCGGAGCTAGTCTCTGTGACGTGTGATACCGACGTCCTAATGAAGCGTTCGTGAACCTTATCGGCAGCTTCTGCCAGTTTGTCTAGCGGAAGATCGTCGGCAAGCACAGCTAAAATAGCCGTGGTATTCGCAGGAAGACAATTACTCCACAACTGACGGAGAACGGAATCATCCAGTGCGGAAGAACCGACGAGGGAACGCATGTGTCGGAGTAACTGTGATGGCGTTCTATCTCCAAGTTCAACACCAGAGAGTAACTGCTGAAGGCGTGTCTCGTCTGAGGCTGTAGTGCGCTTTAATATAGCTGCCTTAAGTTTATCATAGGGGGACTCTAGGGGCATAGGGTCAAGAATGTCGATGACCTCAGAGGCGATGTTGGACGGTAAATGAGCAGTCACATATGAAAACATTGTGGACTGAGATGTAATCTTACGGAAACGGAAAATAGCTTCCACTTGAGCAAACCAAACACGTGGGTTAGAAAAGTCAAATGAAGGCAAAACGAGTCCAAGATAATGTTCCGACGCATTAATTGCAGGCGCGTGATCAGACATTGTAAGTTAAAAAAGAAAAATATACACAAAATGT